CACACACACACACACACACACACACACTCAAATGTTCTACCGTCGAATAATACCACTACTTTGGCGTTTTTACATCCCCATCAAAACACCTTAGAACATTTAGGAAGCAGGCTTCGGCCTTGCCTATCTGGGCCAATCCGGCCTGAAAGGGACACAACATCTCAGCAGAAAGACTGAGATCCAGGGGCGGCTCGTGGGTCTAAAAAGTGGGCGTGCACAATTAAGCTATCTTAGGTTGAAGATAGTCAAGGGCATAGTAAATGAGATGGTGTATAATTTTAGGATCTTTGGGTTGGTGAGGGAGAACCCTGTGATTCTATTTTCATTCTTTTTACTTGTGGCTTTGACTTCTAGAACTAAATCTGTTTGTTAGCTAAACGTCAATTTCATTCATCTTGCTTTAGAACTGAACACTCAAGTAATACCTTTCACCACTCCTCTACAAAACCGTTCAAAAGCACAACTCATAGGACGATGACTTAAGTATGTCACGTTCACCTCCCTCAGGTTCACGGTTACAGAGTCACTCAAAATAGCGGCAAGGCAATGAACCAATCACAATTCACTTGAGCACTTCGCTGGATTGCTCCGGGGCTGACATAATTTTGGCATATAATAGTGCACAGTCTATTGCGTTTATTTTTAGATTGCTTACTGTGGGCTATGTTTCGGCACTATTCAACAGGAGCACATTTGAGATGTGCCGTCTTATTAATATTAATGTACCGCTAAACTCGCTACGAGTGTCGTCATCGCTTGGGTTATCCCAAAGAGCGGTTTATAGGTCAGGTTCCCACTGTTGAATATCCTGCTATGCTTAGAAACAGCGCATGAACTTTGGCATGGCATAGTAGATGTTTTACGGCGCTATAGACACAGAAATGACCGTTATGGCGCCAGTGGGAAACGCATTTTGATATATTTGGCTAGTGTTTGTTTCTGGCCTCTTTTATTTTATTATTGTAGAGGTGTTTTACCTAATAAAACATTAAACATTTTTGGGTGGCACTGTATGACCGTGCTCTATGGACGAACCGCGCCTGCTGAGATCCATAATTAATATTCTTTACACTCGGGAATCGAACTCGGGTCTCCTGCGTGAAATATAAGCTGATATCCCACGCGTGAAATATAGAAAAATGCGCAAATTACTAGCATGTCTATGCTAACAAACGACTCCTAGCCTTTGGTTTGATTTGGTTGCAAAGTTTCAAATCAAAGTCACCTCTATTCTCACAACGACATGTCATATAAATGCAGTTTCTTAATTGTTCAATTTTTGAATCGTACGTTAACTGCTTGCTTTGTCTGTGCTTACGTTATTATTATTATTTTTTGTTTGAGGTTTGCTTTGCGGAAGGACGATAGCGCAACGTGTAAATTAGCGTGGCTAAAAACATAGGAAAACAATCCAGATTTTTCCCCAATCCTTACTCTGACTCTTACGGGCATTAACATTTTGTTTTCATGTGAGACTCTTGAATTGATCCTCTTGTCCAATTGGCTGTTCATTTGAACTTTGCTGGTCCGGATCTAAGTCCCCAGCTGATATCAGTATGGTATAAAAAATTTATTACACTCGTTATGGTGTTAGACAATGATTTATCCTACTTGTCAAATTGCCAGTTGCAATCACTCGTTGAAACTCATGATTACAACTTGGCAATTTCAATCGTAGGATAAATCACGATCTAAAACCACAACTTTTTAATATTATTTATCTAGCTTAACACTGTTACTCTTAACAATAATTGCTTATTTATATTATACTCGTGACTGTGAGCTTATTTGTGAGCGCAAGCATACTCTTATATGCGTATATGTGTAGACAAGAGAATGTATGAGAAAGTGTATGTGTATGAGTGTGCGCGCGCTGTGTGTGTGTGTGCGTGTGTGTGTGTGTATGTGAGAGTGTGTGTGTGTGTGTGTGTGTGTGTGTGTGTGT